AACTTTCAACAGGTTGTTGTTATAGAAATGTAGCTGTGAGTGACAGCTCTGAAAACCGCGTTCACCGAGTGAGGAAAGTCTTTTGGTGTCCTAGGGATAGTGAAAATACTTTGAAAACTCAATGATGGAGTTTCCTTTGGAAAATTGGGTTTTCTGACACACAGAACGACATCGCCGTCTACTTTAGTGCTTAGGAAATGGGTTGTGGCTCGAGTAAATCGGAAAACATACCAGATGATGTAAATATTCACTCACAGCCGTCAACGGCTAACGGCGATACTTCCCATTTCCAGCCTGTCACTTGCGAAAAAAATTCAGAGAAGCCATCTGTTGATGTCCCTCAAGGTACAAAAGAAAACGGAATCGGTGCAAAGTCAGTTGAGCAGCGACACGGCTTTGATGGGACAAAAACTACAACCAAGGCATCTCAGATGACAATTTTGCACTTCAATGATGTCTACAACATCGAGCCACGGGACAGGGAGCCGGTTGGCGGTGCGGCTAGGTTTGCTACCAAAGTAGCAAGTTTTAAACATTTGAACCCATTAATTGCTTTCAGTGGGGACTGTTTAAATCCTTCAACGAGTGAGTATGCTCGTAATTTAGCGTCGCCGTACAATAACTTCAAACAGGGCAGCAGTTCACAAGTAATGGCTCAACAGACCCTTTTAGCTTGCATGTTTTGTTTACCCCATTTCAGATCATGTGATGATACTTTAGAGAACTGTTTCTTTCAAGTTTCCTCTTATTCACGTGCATATTTACGCATAATTTACAAAAGGTAGAGCAGGGAATCTCCAGAAGACCTGAAATGGGTAAACGAAACATACGAGCTAAGGAGGCCCATTACCAGACAGATGAAGGAAATTGCTCCCCTGTCGTATTGCAAGTACACTGTGGCTTTGCAGTTGGTTTGTTGTCGACGTGCATTGTAAAAAATATAATACCTTGTATAGGTAAAGGGATTGAACAGGGAAATTTGGGGATTGCCATCTGGGACCCTCTGTTGTGGTGAAGACCTGTGTTACTGTGTTGTGACATATTATTGCTGTGTTGTGACATATCTTGGTGGTTGGGGAGGGGGAGGAGTGGGGGGCGAAGTTCTGTTGGCTATGTAATTCTAAAACTAATGGGGATAGCTACTTCTGGAACTCATAATGATGTGTGTTATTTTAACGATCGCTAGACTGCCCTCATATGAGAGACAAATGTAAAAATTAATGCCTCTCTAACCCTTCTTAGTTTATTGAGAGAATTCAGGGACCAATTTTATGTTTTTTCCTCATAATTATCAGTGAGCAGTGTGACTGGTGGCAAACAGATGATCCCAATTCTAAATTCATTAAATGTCCATGTTGCTGTATTTGGAAATCATGACTTTGGTAAGTGTTATGTGGGATTGTAGTATTAACTTTAATATTGCTTGCTTAACCTGCTAGAGGGATTGTAGTATTTCCATGTGTAATTTGTATGCAGTAAATGCAGTTTAAAGGGAGGATCGGCTCACTTTGTAGACACAGTCCTTGCAGGGACCACGTGCTGCTCTCCATGCAGATGCTTTTAATTTTACAGGGAGCATCTGAATCTAAAGTTATGTTCAGCCATTGTACTAGAACTCATTACCTACATGTAATGAAGACACAATATCAGTGTACCATTTGTGGACTGCGTTGGTTGATTTTCTTATTTGCCATGCTTTTTCTAGTCAAAATTTTTTCTGGGTCAAGATATCATTCCTTGAGTTCCCATTTTTTTTTTTTTCTACAAG